TTTGTGTTCACTTTCGTAACATATTGATTTTTTTACGATGAGGAGTTGTTAGCCCCACGCTCAACCCCCAAGCTGGAAGGCCACCCCTTGTCGGCTGTCCGCGACTGCTTATTCAATATATTCGCAGCTTCCCTCCAAAACTGTAGGGTGTCCCCTCCTTCCGCAACCTGAGGACGCGCCATGCTGTGGTGACAGGGACCCACCTAACATGGTATCAATTCAATCTTAGTAAATTAAATAAAGCCTGAAGAAAGCCATCTTCTGGGATGTGGCGCCGTGCAGAAATTGTGTTAACTGACGTTTTGGAGGAATGTATCGCCTCCATCTTCAGGGTAGAAGACAAGAAGATGGAGGCGATACGTTCCTCCGAAACGTCAGTTAACACAATTTCTGCACAGTGCCACGTCCCAGAAGACGGCTTTCTTCATAATCACCACTGTGAAAACCTCAAATCTTAAATAAAGCCTGTTATATAATTAGGAAATCCAAACAGTACTTATGTATTGAAGCCCTCAAAATTGTGTATTATGCCTTTTTCCACTCTGTAATGTCATATGGTTTGATTTTGGGGGAAACAGAACTCATAGTATGAGTGTTTTTAAATTGAAGATGAGAGCTGTTCGAATAATGGTGGGAGCTGGAAACAGAGTTTCATGCAGAAAAATTTTTAGCCTATTGAAAATACTACCACTGCCCTCCCAGTATGTATATTCCCTTGTGATGTTTGTTGTTAATAATATGGAATTGTTTACAGAAAATTCTGATATGTACGAAATAGTAACTAGAAATAGTTTGAATTTACCTCTCCCCTTGTCAAATCTAACAGTATTTCAGAAGGGCCCACAGTATCTTGAAATTAAAGTTTATAATAGTCTTCCAAGCAATATAAAACAGTTGTCCAGGAATAACAATCAATTTAAGAGTTCATTATTACAGTTTCTTTAGATTTTTATACTTATATTGCTATATTACCATGTTGTTATGCTATTAATTGAAAAATTGTAAAGGTATAGTTTATTTTCTGATACACTTTAGTTGAAGTAGTGCAGTGAGTGGCTCTGGTTGTGTTTCATTGTGTTTCATTGAGTTGCATTGTGCATTGTCTTGAAGTGCAGAGCCCAGTTCAAGCACCCTAAGAACATGTTTACGAAACAAGAACAACGCTCCTGGATAAAAATTGAAGTTGCATGAAGTTGTAGTGCACAAAACTGTTATCAGGGACTGCGATAAACATGTGGTGATGCTGCTTTTGCCATATCGCACATTGGCACGATGAGCGAAATTGTTCCATGAAGGGAGGGATGCCATTCAGGACGACCCATGTTGACAAACACACAATTCAGCTCCTTGCTTCTTTGCTGGATGTCGATCGTCGATGAACTGCGCTGGAGTTAGCTGCTAAGATGGGCATATGTCACAAAACCATGCTCCACATTCTGCACGATATTCTTGGATGCCGTGAAATTGCAGAGCGTTGGGTACCCTATACAATGTCCGAGGTGCAACAATGGAAATGTTATGCAATTGCACAGGACTTGTTGGACCGGTACCAGAGGGAAGGTGATGACTTCTTTGGAAGAATCATCATTCTGGATGAAAGTTCGCCCTATGCAGAGTAATGTGAAGGCGATGTTCACTGTGGCATATGGCACTGATGGAGTGATACTGCACCACACTGTACCTCAACAACAGACAGTAAACACTGCCTACTACTGCAGTTTCCAGCGTAATCATCTTCGGCCAGCACTCAGGAGAAAGCGATGACACTCGTTGGCAGCGAACCCGATCATCCTTCATGACAATGCAAGGGCTCATATTGCTGACGCTGTCAAGGATCTCCTTCGACACTGGCAATGGGAGATACTGCAACATCCTCCATACTCACCCAGTATGAGTCCGTGCAATTATGATCTCTGCCAAAATGAAAGAACCACTGCGAGGGACATGTTACAACACAAGAGAGGAGATTATTCATGCTGTAGGGCGGTCACTTGTGGACATCAACAGAAGTGGACGCACTGATGCTGTATGACGACTTCCAAAAATTTTGCAGAAGGTGGTACACATGGGAGGCGATTATGTTGAATGAATGTAAGTGTGTTTACCTCAGGTAGTGAAGTAATTTCAGAACTATAGGGGTGTTACCACTACTTTTTATCTGACCTATGTATATTAGTGCTGCCAGCTGCAGAAGTTTGTTTGTAAAATCAAATACCCAAAATATAACCTTACAAGGTTGCAAGACATTTCTTTTTAAAAACAATATCAAAAGCCTAACCTTTCCAAAATGGAACTAGATCTTTTGAATACAAAACCAAGAACTTAACCTTATGGACTTGTTATTAGAGGCAAATCCCACAGTTGTGCTTTGAGTCTGATTTAGAAATAAACTTCTAAGATTGGTGCACTAATCTAGCTGACAGTGTGGCAGTAATTTTTAAAGTTACTTGGTTAATCCACTGCAATTGTAAGCACCCTTAATGAGTTTAACTTTTACATATGCATATGGATTTATTACAGAAGCATACATGGTACATTGGTAGGCATCTGATGAAAAGAATGTTTCTTTTGTTTTGACCTACTTCATTTCTCCAGCAGATTCGAGTTTTGTGACAAGTATGATTAGGGTAGTTTAATGTAATTCAGTTTTGTTTATTGTAAGTTATGTTTGTGTTGGATCTAGTACACATAAATAAAATGTGAATTGTGCAACACATTTGGTGGTAGAGGATGTCATGTAGGTATTTCATAGACAGGCATTATCACCTTATCATAAAGTCATTCCAGAACTATCGTGTAATTTTCAGATTCTGACATCATTCTCCTGTTACTTTAGGAAAACAACTGTGGTCCTGAATTCTAGGCTAGACTTCATGAACAAAACTAAAACCAAATCAGGATCAGTTAATACTAAAACACCACCCACAACATCAAAAAGCAAACAGAATGTTAGAAAAGAAGACTGCAAAAGACAGATGAAATCCCACATTGTGTCTACAAATGCAACATCATCCGTGATTGGTTCTTCAAGTGCTGTACAAGTAAGTTTTTGCTTTTAATAAGTAACTCGAGCAAAGGTATCATCATGAGATTTTAAATTCCCTCGGTAGTGACCATGAGGATTACTGCCTTTTTGGGACATTGGTAACAATTTACCGACATGGTAATCATGTCATAGAAGACAGGAATCTTTATAGTTGCTGCTGTAATAACCTCAGATCTTTTAAAGTAGCTACTGGATCTAGTACTGAAGGGTATTGTCAGTCACTTCATAATTTATCATTTTTATATTTGCAGGAAAACTTGAACTACTTTGTAGTTCAGCCATCTGGTGCTCACCTGCAATTTGGTGCAACCGAAGATAAACGATCTTGTCTCTCAGACACTTATGGAAATAAAGTTTCATTTCCAGTCAGTATGAATTGTGTAACTTCTGAAATAAAATCAGACATCACTCCGACTTGGACTTCTACAACAATGTGCAGTCTGTTACAGAAACCATATGAATACTCATTGTATACAAACAATGCTTCCATAGGTAATAAGGGTGTTAATTTAAGATCAAGTGTCAATGAAAATTCTGATATTTCAGGACATAAATATTTATCCATCATTAGTAAGTCAGAATTATTTCCTGAGATGAACAAAGTAAAATCATATGAAGTCTCTAAATATAGAGAAACAGATGTTAAGAAGCCAAATGACAAGAAGACTGAAAATCCTGGCATGATGCAACATATTTCAAAAGCAGATATATTAGAAAGTGGAAGTTCACTGAATGCTGAGGAACGAACAAAAATGGTGAGAGAAATTCAATTAGAACTTGTCAAATGGAGACAGAAACAGAGTAATGCCCAGGCATTTCAGCACAGTGGTAAGATACATGTACCAGTCCTAAGGGAAGGAGAAGTTGATTCTGAGCAATTGCATCAGTATATAGCAGCGTCTGATAATCTCACAGCCAACACTTCCAAACCTGATCTTCATTGGAAGCAAGAACCAATAACAAATATCAACGATGGCAATTCACTAGGAAGCCTATGTAAGTAATATGTTGTTGTTATACTTGATGTACTGCTTTCGGAGAACATAATGTAGAGAATCACTTCCCTCTCATTATAAATGTATATGAATCTTGTTGGCTTTACACATGCAAAAAATTTTGACTGGTAGGCAGAGTATTGAAAAGGTTAAATGCAGTGTGATCTCAACTGGCATGGCATTCATGCTGTGTTTCATGCAAGGCATTCATTTGCTGTTGAAAACAAGCTTAATTTTCTTTATGACACTGCAAAGCAGAAACCTAATTTGAGGCATCTAGGTAGTGAAAGGTCAAAGATATAAGGACCAATTATGATGCGTCTTTGTCAAAAACATTCATGATTGTTTTTTATCATTTGGCTTAATCACGGTTATTTGAATAGATACACTATACGCTACAAATTTATTTCATGTTTTGGCCATTTGGCCACGATGCTGCAATACAATATTTTTAATTCACAACTGTTCCTTTCTAATTTCCAAAATGTTTGTACCTAATCAAGTTTTTCTAAAATTCCAGCTGTACTTCTACAGTGCACACATACACCATGTTGATTTTCTTTGTGTCATGCTTACATTTCACTTAACAGCCATATTGGATGAGAAGAAACTTTTTATTATAATACAAAACAAAAACAAATGCATATAGATCACTATTACCAACTTGAACATTTTTACATTACTAGATTCTCAACATTCCTCCTTAATTTCAAAATGTTACAAACACATTTCTCATTTTCCTCCTTAATTTCAAAGTGTTGTCAATATTATTAGCTGTTTTACAAAGTTAAATTGAATAACACTTAGTAATTTTGGTCTTCAGATACAAAATTAGTACATGCAATTAAAATTTTCTCAGTCTTATCAAAATCAGACTTATTTCTTCATAAGTATAATGTCTCTAAACTTGGTAAATTTCTCTGGTGATAGCGATTTTGTTAAAATGTCTGCCACCTGAGTTTCAGTGTTAAATATTTTATTGAGAACAGTTTCTCTTTCACTTGTTCACTTATATAGTGATACCTAACGTCTATGTGCTTACTCCTACGTGTTACTTGTCCAGATTCTGTTAGCTTGAAGGCACTCTGATTGTCGACACACAGTTCAGCTTCCACCCTTTTTCCTGTCAACTCCTCTATCAACGTCTTTAGATATTTCAATTCTTTATAGCACTCAGATGCTGAAATATATTCATCCTCAGTGGTTGATAATGCAACAATACTCTGTTTCCTAGAGCACCATGATATTGGGCCCCCTGACATCATAATTACATATCCCGTTACACTCTTCCTATCCTTTACATCCCCTGCATAATCAGCATCACTAAATGCTTCCAGTTTCACAGTTTCGGAGTAAGATGAGGTGTATTTTAATCCTGAATCTCATGTACCTTTCACATACCTAAGGGTCCTTTTCACATTCTGAACAGCTATTTTGCCAGGATTTTCCAAGGTTCGACTTTCCACATTTACAGCGAATGCCATATATAGCAGGCTTCCTACAGCTTCTCTGTAAGGAAATCTTATGTCATTTTCTCCTTCATCATTCATTGGTGGGGTCGTGGCCATGGGTGTTTTTCATTTCTTGACTTTCTTGCATGTTGTATTTTTCCAACATTTGGCTTGCATAGTTGGTTTGAGAGATATGTATTCCAAAATAAACTTTTGGATTTGTGGTTTTTTTATCTGGAATTGATTTTCCAGTTTCAGCAAAATTTCCTCTATTTGTTTTTCATCCTCTCCCATGAATATCCCGTCGTCCACATGAATGTCCATGAATAAACTATTGGCATCATTTTAAAAATGCATTGGTCAGATTTTAGTTGGTTTAGACCTTCTTCTTATAGAAAGGTTGTCAACTTCTTGTTCCATTGTGATGGTGCTTGTCTTAGGCCATATAATGCCTTTTTCAAGAGACATATCTTGCCAGTGTTCTTGTATCCTTCTGATATCTCCATGTAGTTTTCCTCCTCAAGGTCTCCATACAGGAAGGCAGTTTTCACATCAAAGGTTTGCATGTTCACATTCTTACATGCTGCTATGGCAAACAGTGCTCTTAAGAGAATTCATGTCAACAACTGGGGTGAAGGTATCCTTGAAATCTATTTCCCCTTCATTTTGTTTGCATCCTCTCTCAACCAGTCTGGCTTTGTGTCTTCCATCATCCTTTATTTTTAAAACTAATTTACTGGTCAGAATTTTCTTGCCCATTGCTTTCTCTCTGTTTGCATGTATCCAAGTTTTGTTTTGGTAGAGCCAGTCCTTTTCCTCATTAATGGCTTTCTTTCACTTTTTGCTGTCTTCACTCTCCATGCAGTCGCCATATGTATAGGTGAGCATACCCTCCTTTTGACTCTTTGTGTGATAGTCTCAGTACTTCAGGTGCATTTGAATGTTTCTTCTTGGTCTCAATGCATATCCATGTTCATTTTGTCCATTGTTTTTCCTTCCATTATCCTTGTGGTCAGCATTTTCATTTTCTTCATTCTCTTCAGTATCTGTTGGTTCTTCTTCATCGTTGTCAGCTTCGGGTTCTTGCTGCATTTCACTATCTTCCCGATCTAGAGTATTTGGCTTGTCTTCTGGATCCGTCACTCTTTCCATTTCCTTTTGTTTATTTGTTGTCACAGGTTTACTTGTGAATGTCACATCTCTGGAGACATAGGTCCATTCCGTATTTGGATCCCATATTCTGTAGCCATTTGTGTTGTATCCAACGAATATTCCTTTCTTGCTATGACTGTCCAACTTTTTCAGTGGTCTGAGAATTTTAGTGTACACTTCTGAACCAAACATCTTCAGTCCAGCCAGATCTGGTCTTTTACCATACCAATTTTCTGCTGGCGTTCCATTCACTGTCAATGTTGGACTTCTGTCTAGCAGGTATGCAGAAGTGAGTACAGCTTCACCCCACATTCTCTTACTTAAACCTGAGTCAAAAATCAATGCTCTTGCCTTTTCCACAATGGTACAGCTCATCCTTTCAGCAGTGCCATTTAGCTGTGGCAAATATGGTGTAGCAAATTCCATTACAATCCCCTTGTTCTTACACCATTCTCTCAAGGCGTTGTTCTTATATTCCCCTCCATTGTCGCATCTTATTCTTCTCACTCTTGTATTGAAGTGACAGTCAGCTTCATTTACATATCCCTTCAGAAAGGTATACACTTCACTCTTATTTTCTAACAGGTATATCTTACAAAAATGTGTACAGTCATCCACACAGGTAAGGAAATATTTCTTATTGTCATAAGCGGTGGGATCAATTGGTCCACACACGTCACTATGAATTATCTCTAATGGCTTTCCAGCCCTACTTCTTTCTGTATCAAATTGGAGTCTCACTTGTTTGGTCTGCATACAAACTGAACATATATCAAAATTTTTACACTTGCTCACACTTTCTGGTATCCCTTGGCATATCTCTTGTAGTTTCCTAAGATTCGCATAACTTATGTGACCTAGCTTTCTATGCCACTCTACACTTATATCTTGCTGAGTCATCATAGCTTCATTCCTCACGCTAAAATTAATTACAAATAATCCATTTTCATCCTTTTTTCCTTTGATTACAATATTTTTGTCCTTGAGTATCTGGACTTTCTCTTTTGTAAACAACACTTCTCCATCATTTTCTGTAGTACAGTGTACTGACAGCAGGTTTTTGCTGAGTTCTGGAACATATGAAACGTTTTTCAAACTACACTCTTTAAATTCCAAATTGCCTATTTCTTTTGCGGTCATACTTTGATTTTTCTTTGCTACCTTTTTACATTGAGTATACTACTTAGTATGTATCAAGTCAGTCTTCACATTTGTCATATGACATGTGCTACCACTATCCACTACATACATTTTGTCTTTTTTACTTGAATCACTCACGTGGGTTTCTGCTGCTTCAGCTAGAAAATTGACCTAGCTTCTTTTATTCCTATCTTTAAAATAACAGTCCTTTTCAGCATGATTCGTTTTCTTACATACTGTACATTGTTTTCTCGTATCACTGTCCTTATTTCTAAAGTAACAGTCCTTTTCAGAGTGATTATTCCTTTTACAGATAGAGCAATTTCTCTTACCTTTGTTGGGCAGTTGATCTGGGCATGACCTATTTGATTACAATTGAAACACTTGAAAGGGGTTTTACTTTTGGTTTTAGTTACTGTCTTAAAAGCTATGCTTTCCTCTTCTTTAGTCATCATCATCTTGCACTTCACTTCTTCCAACATCAATCTGGCCACCAGGTTGTCAAGGGTTCTGTCCACGTTTGCCGTTGAATTCCCAGGCAGTGCTGAGGTGTTTGTAGTCTTCTGGTAGAATCGTTGTTATTTTTGTAATGATCATGTTTTCATCAACGTTTTGGTTCAGTTAACGAAGCATGAAGGCAATGTTCTGCACATGACTTATATTCATCATCATATCCTTAGTTTTGTCATACTTGAAGTTGTAGAAGTCTTGTAGCAGAAGGCACTTCTGTTGAGAGGTGTCTCACTGATAAATTTCCTTCAAGGTGTTGTACATTTCTTTTGTGGTTGTGCATGTCACAATGTGGGTTTTCACGTGTTTCTCTATCGTTCTCACTGTGTAGTATTGGCACTTTGCATCTCACACCTTCCATTTTCTTATATTTTCTTCGTCTCTTCCTTGGTCACTTAGCAGGTCGCTGCCATCAACAATGTTTATCAGTTCTTTTGCGCACATCAGAATCTTGATTTCAAAATCCCACAGTGGAAATGAGTCGCGTCCTTCAGTTTTCGCAGATGAGTTACCTCTTCTGTCTCTGTGGTTGCCATTTTTTTCATTATTCTTCTTCTGTCTTCTCCTTTTTTCTTTCCTTTTTTAGTTTTTGAGCAAGTCTGGGCCCATAACCTGTTGTTTTTCTTTGTGTTGTGCTTACATATCACTTAACAGCCATATTGGATGAGAAGAAACTTTTTATTATAATACAAAACAAAAACAAATGAATATAGATCACTATTACCAACATGAACATTTTTACATTACT